GACGGCAAGGAACCAGAAAAACGACCTGCAATGCCTGAGCAAGCGCACTAGTTGCTCGACAAAACAAAATAAGCATTCTTTGTTTAGGCCACATTATAGACTTCGTATTTCTTTCAGTCAAGGGGGAGCGGGAACAGGGAAACAGGGAAACACTTGAGACACCGCGTCGGCAACCATCGAAAGCCTTCTGGGCAAAAAAAGGCCCAGACAAGTGTATCATAGGCCAGAAAAGAGCAATGATTAATCTCGTGGGCCAAATTGCATGAGGGTTTGTTGAGGGCACAAGCGAAAAAGAGCACACCTGAGACACCGTGTCGCCAAATGCAGAACAACTACCTGCCAGGCTTGAACAAGAGCAGCATGGGCCCGGAGAAAGAACAATGATTCCATTCTTGGGCTCGATCACGTGAGGAACAAGTGTACCATGGGCCAGGAACGCACGCATCTTTTTTTGGGACGGGAACATATCAGGATTATATTGTTAGGGCGAGGGGCGGGAATCAGGAAACCATGGGACGATGGGGAACACTTGAGATTCGCGTCGGAAAGGACCGACACCCGCAAGGACCAGAGAAGAAGTGCGCCATGGGCCAGAACAAACAGGTAGTGATTCAGTTTTGGAACTGGATTGAATCTGGATGTTTTCTTCAGTCGGGAGGAGGTAGAACGTGAAACAGGAACACGCCCAGTGCACTGCTTCGGCAGGGACTTGCACGTGTCCAGCATAGACCGAACACTTGCGCCAATTTATCACGCAACAGCATAAAGTAATGATTCCTCTTCCAGGCGGGAATGCATTAGTTTGTTGTTCGGGCGAGAGGGGGGAAGCAGGTAAGGACGAAAGAGGGGAAACACTTGAGATACCACGTCGGCCATGACCGCAAGACGACCCGCCCGCAAGTCCCGGATAAGTGTATCATTGCCCCGACAATGCATTTGTTGTGGTTTGATTGTTTAGAAATCTCCAGGAAGCCACAGAGGCAGGTAGACACTTGAGTCATCGCGTAGGGACGGAAAAACGCCCCGCAAGGCTTGAACAAGTGAACCATGGGCCAGAAAAGAAACATTCTGATTGCGTCTTCGGGTGGGAGTACGGCAGGATTCATGCTGCTGGGCGTAAGGAGTGAAACAGGGAAGCAGGGAAACACTTGAGGCAGGCGTCGGCAAGGACCGACAATCGTGGTGTACGGACCGAAGCAACGACGCGCAAGGCCCGAAGAACAATTCCAAAGTCCGAGCTTTTGTCGGGCTCGTGGAAGATGTTTCGGGGGTTGCGCGTTGCAGCTGGGATGTCGGCCATCGACCTGCATGGGTGGTGCCATGCACTTTCCCTGAAGGGCTCCAGGGTCAAGCAAGTGCTAAGGGACGAGTCTCTTCAGCTGCTCAGCGCGTTGATCGTCCGTGGCAAAACGTCGCCGTATCTCAAGCTTGTACGTTTGGGCTCGGTCACCGCTCAGTTGACCGTTTTCCCCAACACATCGAATGCGCTCGGGGTTTCAACTCTATGAAATAAGGGCTCGTCCTAACTTCTGGAAACAGTGTGCCGCACCTCCCGCCTGCCGTGCCCTTGCCGTGCCGTGTTGCCGTCGTGTCTTCCCATGCGCATGCCGTGCCTGAATTTTGACATTCGAAGAACGCATCGCCCACTTGCCGTGCCTGGGTCGTGCCCGTGTGCCGTGCCGTCTTGCCGCGCCGTGCGCGTGCCGTACCTGATATCTGGAATGCAAAACCGTGCCCGTGCCGTGCCCATGTGCCGCGCCGTGCACGGCGCGAATTCTGAAATGCGAAGAACGCGCCGCAAGCGTGCCATGCCCATGCCATGCCTGTGTGCCGCGCTGTCGTGCCGTGCCGTGCGTGTTGCGTGTTTGATTTCGAAATGCGAGAAGTCAGATTGCGAATACGTTGCCGTTCTGTGCTGTGCCGTGCCTTGCATTCAGAATGTACAGAAGTTGACGTTCCGTGCCGTGATGTGCCTGGTTTTCACAATGCGGTATTGTTGCCGTGCCATGTTGTGCCGTGCCGTGCTTGATTTCCTAATGTGGAGAAGTTTCCGTGCCGTGCCTTGCTGTCATTATGCGAGCAAGTTGCCGTGCCGTGGCGCGCTGTGCTTGCGCTACAGATTTCGAAGAAGTAGCCGTGCAATGCCATGCCGTGCTGTGCCTCGTTCTCAGAATGCGAACAAGTGGCCGTGCGGTGCTGAAAGTTGCCGTGCCTTGGCGTGCCAGGCTTCCTGAATGTGGAATTATTTGCCGTGTGGTGTTTTGGCGTGCCGTGTTTATTTTCAGAATGCGAACACGAACCAAACACCGTGCCGTGTCGTGCCGTGCTTGGCCTTCGTCATGCGAGCAAGCTGCCGTGCCGCCTCGTGCCGTGGTTTGCTTTCAGAGTGCAGAACATTGCCGTGCCGCGCCGTGCCGTGCCTGGTTTCCAGAATGCGAAAAAGTTGCCGTCCTGTGCCATGCCGACCATGTGCCTTATCATGCAGCGTTCGTGTTCAGGACGTCTGTGCCGATCAAATATCGTAATCCCCTTCCTCTTCCACCTCCTTTTGCGATCCTGCCTCGCTGAATCTTCCCCTCCCCCATCGAGTTTGCCCTCCTTGGGACCTCATCCCCTCCCTCCCCTTGGTGGCGAGAACAAGAGAGGATGAAGCGAGGGACGGCCTCCCGAGAAGGCAGGGGGCCTCTCAGGAGGTACTACTACTACTACCACTACTACCACTACTACCACTACTACCACTACTACTACCACCAACACCACCACTACTACTACCACCACCACCACCACCACCACCACCACCACCACCACCACCACCACCACTACTACTACTACTACTACTACTACTACTACTACTACTACTACTACTACTGCTACTACCACTACTACGAATATTACTACAACTACCACTGAAACTACTGAACCTACTACTACGACTACTACGACGACTACTACTACTACTACGACTACTACTACTACTACTACTACAACTACTACTACTACTACTACTACTACTACTACTACTACTACTACTACTACTAACTACTACTACTACTACTCTACTATACTTAATACTAACTACGTACTACTACGACTACTACGAGCGCGACTACGACGACGCTACTTCTACTTCTACGACTACTATTACGACTACTACTACTACTACTGACTACTCCAAATACTCACTACTTACGACTACTAACCCCTACTACCACTACTACTCACTCTAACTACTACTACTCTACTACTACTACTACTAACTACTATACTGACTACTACCACCACTACTACTACTACTACTACTACTACTCCTACTCCTCTACTACTAACGACTACACTACTACGACTACGACGACTCTACTACCTACTACTTACTACTACATACGACTACTACTACCACTAACTACTACTACTTACTACTACTAAACTATACTACTACCACTCCACTACTACTAATAACTACTAAACTACTACACTACTACTACTACTCATATTACTACTTCGACTACTACTACTACTACTACTACTACGACGTACTACTACTACTACTACTACTACTACCACTACCACTACCCCTAATCAACTACTACTACGAAACTACTACTACTACGACTAACTACTACTACTACTCCCACAACTACGACTACTACGACTACTACTTATTACTACTACTACTACGACTACTACTACTACGATACTACCACTACCACTACTACTACGACATCTACTACTACGACTACTACTCTACTACTACTACTACTGCTGCTACTACATACTACTACTACTACTACTACTACTACTACTACTACTAATACTACTACTACTACTACTACACTACTACTAACTACTACTACTACTACTACTACTACTACTACTACTCTACTACTACTACTACTACTTACTATGACTACTCTACACAATCTACTACCACTACTACTACTACTACTTACTCTACTCTACTATCTACTCTCTACTAACTACTACTACTACTACTACTACTACTACTACTACTACTACTACTACTACTACTACTACTACTACTACGACCACGTCCGCGGAAGGCCAATCTGGACGAAAGCACCGCTACCTCGGAGCCTTCGGCCTCAGGGCCGCGGAAATCGCCAGAAGACTGCAATATCGGTTTGCTGACAGGCCTGCACCGCCTCGTTGGAAATCGCCTCCACCGCGCCGTACATCATGGGCGGCGCTTGGCCGCCCCTGGGGGCGAAGAGACGCACGTCCGGATGGGGTGACACACGGACCTCTGCTCGTCGAGAACATGGCGATTGCCGGGATTATGCCCCCTGGGCCGTGGCAGTTACGACGAGCGGGCCCAGGCTCGCAGTGAACACAGTATCTGTCGGAACACATGGGCTTGGAATACTTGAACTCCGAAACAGCGACCCCTGGCAGGTTGGGGCGTGGTACGATGTCCACGTGCTGGCCTGGTCTCTGTCTTTTGAACGGCGCCCTCCCCCCCCCCGTTTGGCCCGCTCGCACGTCCAATGCATCCTCCCAAACAACGAAAAGAAAGTGTACAGGGGGCTTGACCATAAGGTAATAAGATGAGAACCCTACTCGTAGGATAACGTCGGCGACGCATCGAAGCACCCCACAACTCATCCCTTGATGGCAAGCGAGAAGATAGACAAGAGAGAAGCCATGGAAATGGAAGATGGATCATGGAAGGGCGTGGCCTTTGTCCGTTGCCAAGATCCCAGTAGAGGTGCACAGAGTCGCGCGCTAGGCGCATTGGACAGCGCTGTCTTGAGACAAGACAGCGTCGGATAATATAGCGTTCGCGACACAGCCTCTCCTTAAACTTCGTTGAAAGTCGGAAGGGGGGGACCGAACGCTAGATCCTTGTCCAAATATATTGTAACATATAAAGAAGGATGGACACACTGTTCTTCAACGCCCACAGCAGTGCGCAGGCAAACGCGAGGAAAACAACGCAGAGCACGAGGGCCGGTCATGGCATCTTGCCACGATTTGCCACACATAATGATGAATGGCCACAGGCAAGACAGCGCGGCCATCCGCAGATGACTGCGGGGGGGCGAATGGCCAAATGCCAGTGGTCAAAGCGCGCAGAGAACGAGGGGATATAACCAAGCGGTCAGATCCCCTCAAAATTACCCTGCGACGTACCCAACCCACGTGCATCAAATGGCAAGAGGAGTATGCCAACACTAGCAGGAACAACGACAGTGTAGACGCGGCGATTTGCTGCGCAAGCTACATGGGATGCGCATGCGTTGCACGATTCACAGGACGACGATCGAAAGAACGAGGCTTGAGGCCCCAGGATCGAAGAAGAACGGGCACGGGAACGAGGGGCAGGAGAGGGATGGAATGGAGGGCGGGGGGGGCGAAAGGCCATCGCGGAAGCAGCAGCATGCATGGAGAAGGTGAGGCGGGGAACAGGACGACGATGAAAGTGGCGGGAGGAGACAGAAGACTGCCGCGTTTTTCAAGTGCGAGCTACACCCGCAGCGCTGCCTGCGCCATGTCGTCGCAGAGTTCCACATGATAAAACTTGTTTAGAGCGCAAGGAACGAGCGAGGCGTAGCTCGCCCGCTAGCTTCTCCGCCTCCTTCCCGCACATTTCAGCGCGGGGGCTGAACGCTCGCAGGCGCGCCGCCAGGTCTGCGGGCGGCCCGCGGGGAAGAAACTCAAGGCCGGGGTCGCGTATCATCAATCGGTTGTCCATCGTCCAAAGTTGCACTGGCGACGTACTGGTTGAACGCGGAGCGAGCAGCATCACGCGTGTGCCTGAACGCCACGCAGGTACAGTGCACGCGCGATTGGGACTTCAGGTCGATCACGCGCGTCTCCACCAGGCTTGGCAACACCACGCGACTGAGGATCTCACTGCGGTCTGCCATGCTGCTGTCCGCGAATGCAATGCGCTGCCTGCAAGTAAGGCGGCGGCGTCCACTTGTCTCCGAAGATGTTCCCGCGGGCCCGAAGGGCGACCGCCAGCTCGAGCCGCGGCGCCGGCAGGCCAGATAAGGATCATGCAACAGCAAAGACGATGACAGAGCAACGAGGTATCGGCGAGTGCATTACCGGCCTCCGTTTCCTGCACTTCTTTCCTGTAGTTCCCCTAGCTCATCGAGCTCAGCAGATGTTTCTGCGGGTCCGAAGGACGACCGCCAGCTCGAGTCGCAGCGCCACGTGGCACGAACCGCAGAGCAAGGGCACGCGAGCATTGCTCGTGGTCAGAATCTGAGTCCCCGTGGTGCCTCACTCCGCTGGCCACCCACCAGCAGCCTCGAAAGTGGCGACAGTTTCACACAGGGATGGCGAGGACTAATCTGAGTCCCCGTGGTGCCTCACTCCGCTGGACCCACCAGCAACCCTCGAAAGTGGCGACAGTTTCACAGATCGCAGCCCCCCAGAGATGGCGAGGTCTAACCTGGTCCCCGTGGCCTGCACTCTGCTGTAACCCACCAGCATCCCCTCGAGTGGCGACAATTTCACAGATCGCAGCCCCCCAGGAATGGCGAGGTCTAATCTGAATCCCCGTAGGGCGTCACTCCGCTGGGCCCCCCAGCAGCTCTCGAAAGTGGCGACAGCTTCACAGATCGCAGCCCCCCAGGGATGGCGAGGTCTAATCTGAATCCCCGTAGGGCGTCACTCCGCTGGGCCCCCCAGCAGGCCTCGAAAGTGGCGACAGTTTCACAGATCGCCGCCCCCCCCACCGCCCCAGGGATAGGCGAGGTCTAATCTGAGTCCCCGTGGTTCCTCACTCCGCTGGACCCACCAGCAGCCCTCGAAAGTGGTGACAGTTCCGCAGATCGCAGCCCGCCAGGGATGACGTGAAAGGCAAGAGAAGAGAAGAGGAGGAGCGAAGAGAGGCGGAGAAGGGAAGCAAGAGAGGAGAGGAAGAGGGAAGAGAGGAGGAGGAGGCGGGAAGGAAGGAAGGTGGAGACCGCAGTGCTCTATTCAAAACGAGTACCCAACGCAGGAGGGTTGGGAAAAATAAACAAGCACTCGTGGTAGCTGTGGCGCTATGAGCATCTATGCCCGTGGCCAGGCGAGGAAGACTGCATTGAATGTATAATGCCCGTGCCCGGGCAAGGATAACTACTTGTCTGAGTTTGAGTAGTCGCCCTCATTGGCGTCCGCTTGCCCAAAATAAGGCACCCCTCCGTTGGCGCTGTGTCTTTCTTGCCTCTATAGGGTACGTACTGCTTTACATCGTGCTTGAAGGATTGATTTCCATCTATCACTCGCAGCAGTAACGCGCGATCGATGCACCCCTTGGCATGGCCGTCGGCGGTCATACCTCGCGCATCACACCATTGTACGCTATGAACTACACCTCGGCCCATCATCTGCCTCATCCAGCTGATGCGTCCCAAAAGGGCACAGTAGGTCGGATTCTTCAAGTCCTTACTTGACAGGGATTTGATGACCGACTCAGCGTCCATCGCGAGGATGGCCTTAACGCTGAGACACCTAACTCCTGAATGTTCTCAAGTTGAATAGGTGTTCGGGCTCCAGCTCTAAGCTCACGCAGCGTTACGCTGGTAGGAGACCTGCCCTCAAGATAATGAGCGGCCGCCAGCGCTTCAGCTGAGAAGCCGGAGCGCACCTGCAAGCGATGTGACTTACAGCACGCATCACTCGGATGAACCACTGCCTCACCGCTGGGCGCGTGTCCACGCAGTAAAAGGTTCGCCCCTCTGAAGCCACATCCCATCACTTCGCCACCGTCGTCCCCATCGAGGCAAGGGCGTCCTGAGTCACTATGGAGGCCCCCTTCTCCTGTCGAGGTTAAAAGTTGAACTATTATGTTACTCTGACCTTGCTGCAGTTTGCGCGCGACAGCGATGAGAATTCGCACGCGGGGGATTGCGGGTTCCTGCGCACGCTGCAAGGATACCACGCAAACCATTCACCATGCATGAGCGATCCATGCATATGCCAAGGCACTACGTGAAATAATGCACAGGTCGGGCACTGTCTTCGTTGCCTTTTCTTCCGCCACAGCACCCGAAAGTTCTGGCTGCCGTATCGGGCGACGCTGTTTGATGCACTCACCCCGTTCTAGCCGGGCGCGGCCGCCCTCGGCCTCAGCGCATCGCGCGGCGCAAATGGTGCAACGGCGCATGTTCAAATTACACGCGCCAAACCTACCTTCTACACATGCGACGCACTTGTCAACGGCGCCCCCCACTCCTGCCACGTCGATGTCGTCGACGCGCGCGGCTGTTCGACGGTTTGGGCTTGTCGCACAATCTCCATCATACGATGCGGGTGTCAGCCCGACACCTCGCGCGATGGTCCTGAGCTTCAGCGAGAACGCCCCAGGGGCGTCTTCGGCGCCCGCGCCTGGTCGCTTAAGACACCGAAGACAACGCTTTGACTAGTCAAGAGACAAGAAGCCGGACAGTGCACACAGTTCCGAGGCAGAACTAAGTGGAAGAGTGAAGCATGCCATGCGCTCTTTCTCACCGGTGGCCTCTGCCAACTCACGGTACGCCAGACCCTTCAAGACAGCCTCGTCGATGTCCATGGACGCCATGACCCACTGCTACTCGCGCGCGGCCGCGCCGGCGAGCAGTCTCTGGCTTGCACGCCGATCTGCGCCTGAGAAGGTTTCTACGTCGAATGCCTCGACGCCCATGAAGCCACGAAGAACGCGGCGCGGTCGGATTGTTCGTTCCATTCCGCCGCTGTCGTTCTTGACAAAGTTCCACTTGCACGCGTAACCAAATGTCATGCAATTGGTAGCATTCTTGATGTCTTGCACCCTAAAGCATTTGTTAACATACCATGTGTTAAGTACGGTGCACAAGGCCTCAGATATCTTTGTCGGGTTGGCGTGAACTTCTGCCTTCGCCAGGAGGTCGTCTTCCTCGACAACTACAGCTATTGTTGCTGTGGCCGAGACATATACGCGCATTGCGGCTATTTGGTCGCTGCGCAGCGACTCGCATTGCTGCTCTGATAGGACGAGCTGAGCCATGTCAGCAATAATATATAGCTCGACATGACGGCCGCGGTCGTCTGAGTCGAGATCGCGCGTCTCGTCGCATTAACTAATCCAAGATACCAGAAAGGTTTCGTCGGCGTCGCGAATCCGAGCATAACGCATTTCTCGCAAGTGTCCTTGCTCTTCGCTGGCCACAGCCGCGAGCACGCGGTTGTCGGGAACAATTTCGGTGGGCACCGAACACAAAGACTCCCATGAGGGGGTCTCGAAT